TTTACACCACATTCCAAGCACTATTGCAGAGTCACACCTTTTTTGACACGAGGTAGCATTTAGCTGCATCGGTCAACTTGAATCACTTGCCACACACCTAAGGTCCTAGCCGCTCTCAGGGCTGCGACGGAAGTAGGCAGGCTTGTCCGGTGTAGGGCCATCGATCGTTTTGCCAAGGTAGCCGACACCTTCCACGTCAGCGGAGGGCTGCTTGGAATCCCATTCCAGGAAGGCAATCCACACAACGATGATTGGCACGAAGATGACGATGGCATCCACTTTGCTGAAGCTGTCCGAAGCCTGGTCAGTGGCCAAAGCAGGGGCAGCAGGCAGTGCTGCAAGGACTGCGCCTGCCACAGCAGCTTCCTGACCACGCAAAGCTGGCTTGTTTGGACCTGCCAAGAACGCTTGGTTCAACGCAAGCAGTCCGAAGGCAAGCAGGGCCACGGACAGCAGAACTGGTGCTCTTCGAGCCATGGTCGTGGCAAGGGGCTTCCGACTGAAAAAGGAACCCTCGATCTTGAACAAAAATACTTGCGGTCAGTCGTACTTGGCTGCAATTGGACTTCAGAATGCACTGAAGTCTTGAGGCGAGAAACGTCTTCACATTCACAATGGAAATGCTGCTCAGAATGTACGTTTGCTTGAACTATATTATATGCCTGGCAATCTGTAGAAATCTGTCTGCGAGCTTGTGTGCTTGATGCAATTGGGTCTGGGCTAGTCATGAGGATCATGTTTCTTGTGAACTTGATGCAGTTTGGCTTGAGCAAGTCCTTCTTGTGGGAGAAATTGTCTTCGCCAAAATCCACCATGGCTATTTGTTGTCCATTCTATTTGCTTCTCTCAGGTTTGGAGGAAAAGAGGAGAAGAAGGAGAGTGGGACGAGAAGGGCGAAGCAACACCGATGAACAAACACATGAGAGCCTCTAGCACTCTCTAACAGTCTGCGGGGAGGAGGAAAACCATGGAAACCCTCAACGCCAAGTGGTCTCAAATGTCCATCCCTGAAATAATGTGCTATTTCGTTCAACAAACATCAACAAACCAGAAAACCAAAACATCCTTGAAAACCAAACCAGAAAGCGTTTTAGGTCTTTTCACTATGAAAAGTACCAGAACGACAAATGTGGCGAGATGTGTGAGGTAGAAACAGAACATGTCTGCACGCACACTGAGGAACCAGGTGCGCGAAATGCTGAGGTGTTGGTGCGCTGCCAACAAAAAGCTCTACAAGGTCGCAGCTGTGAGAAAATATTGCTGAACTCGCAGCTCATGTTTCTCGCCTATTTCTGTCATGGTTTTTCTGTTTACAAAAACGCGTGCGGTCAACTGAGGGAAGGAAGTCATGGTCCAATGCAAAAGGAACGGATTGTGTGACTTTGTAGCTAGGCCTTTCTCAGTTGCCGTTGCATTGGTGGAAGCTAGCCGTGGTTGCACTCGTTGGTGCCAAAGTCAGTTAGCTCACTGCTTCGCTAGCACAAGCACGCTCTGCTAGCACCTCGAAACCCACCTATCTGTGCTGATCAATCTCAAACGGAGCTCAACACGCGTGATTTGCTGCAGGACCCACCCACTTGCCACTTGGCTTGCTCAGCTCAACCCTCTTGGCAAGCATACCTGATTCAACACTTAGCCAGTTCCCCAATGCTTACCTGAACCGTGCTAGTTCACCTCTTACCTGTGCTGACCCTCATGCAAAAGTCACTTCGACTGACCTGGACTCCTGACCAACTAGGTCAGCCTAGAGGGTGCGCAATGAATCCCCCCGTGAACATAAAACAACCCTCTCTTGCAAATTCTCTAAGACCGAATTGCGTTCCAATTTTGACACCCTTTCCTACCCGGTCCTACCCAATCAAACAGCCTGAGTGTGCATGCAAGAAGGGCAATACCTTTTGACATGTTGCACAAGGTCATGTAAAAACATAAGGATTGGCTACAAGAAAGAACGGGGAGGTTTTCTTTCACCCGTCCAACTGAACAGTCGAGTTTCCTGCATGGACTTGCGAACATGCACTGCTGGAAACTGCATTGGGTTGAGCCGGCTAAGGCATCTGGTGCCTTTGTCTCTGGGCGCTCTGTGCAAAATGTGCTTGCCTTTGTTTCGGGTCGCTCTCCGTGAAAATCTCAGACGAAGCCAACCACGAAGCCATGGGGCCCATGGGACCCTTTATCGGTCGACAGAATTGTGAGCCTGTGGGGCCCACAAAGCCCGCGGAGGATTTCTCTGCGCACGCAGCCCTTGGAATTGGACTTGGAATATCACAAATGGTCGCGTCCTGAGAAGTCCTGCAAGAATGGGAAATGAAAACCGTGTTTGACAGATTTGGAATCACTTGGCGGCAGCATCTCCCAGCTCAATCGTCATACCTGCTGGGCTTCCAGCACCCTCCAAATCAGCCCAAAAGAATCGTCTGGCCATCTTCAAGGGCAAAATGCATCTTGCCCAGGGCCCCATGAGTGCTATATGCACAGCAAGTAGTGTATAGCGCCCATACATCTTGGCACCAAATGCATGCCAGAGTTGGAAACAGCAGCTTGCTGCCAGAGCCAAAGTCATGTAGGACCTGATTGAAGGGATCTTTTCTGCGGCACGTTTGAGGGGCTCTTTGGGAAGATGTCCAAAGAAACTGAATCAAGAACGAACTAGACGACAGGTGGCCCGATAGTGAAGAAAAATGATAGGAAGGAGGTTTGAGAAGAACATGAAGAAGATTGTGAATGGGGGGAAGTGAAGGGGACAGTAAAGTGCAGGTAAAGGTGAGAGAAAGGAAGGATTTACAGCACGCGCTGCGATATTCGAAACCATCAAGAAAGGATCCGCAATTTCCTCAATGGGCGCGAATTCCACACACTCCACGACATCACCTGCTTCATCACTGACCCACTTCCGAGTACCAGCAGTTTGCTCATCATACTTCTACTGTCTACAAACACGTACAAGTCACGTTTGATGTCAAAGCGCCCTGCCAGATCTGCGCAACAGTGACAAAGTCGACAGCTAATCCTTCACAACGCAAACGCATGTGTTTCATCCTTGCCTCCAGGAGCAAGCGCGAACAATCCGCTCATCACATGGATCTTCTGTCTACAAACACCTAGATTTTACATTTTATGCCAAAGTGCCCCACAAGAACTGTGTGACAGTCAAAATAGTTTCGCTCTTCTTTTAATTTACAAACGGCGAATCCTCAAAGCACCCCTTCACAGTGTCAACACATCCCTTTCACCACTGCCTCAGTTCACTTGCCAGCTATCCGCTCATCACTATAGATCTACTCACCACGTGTCACGCCTCATGACGAAGTATCCCACAAGCCTCTTGCAACATTTAAAAGGTTCCACATCACATGTCATGTCAAAGCGCCCACAAGATCTGCGCTACAGTCACAAAGGCTTCCAAATGTTGCAAATGCCAATGCACATTGCTACTTTTCAAAGTGCAGCTTCACAGTGTCAACACACCCATAAAATTAAAAGCATGGACATGCTTCCAGATAGCACAATCTTCATGTAGACAGCTACTTCTCAATTGCCCCTTGACAGTGTGAACACACATGTAGAAACTAGAAACACGCAGCAAATCGTCAATTTTCATGTCAAAGTGCCCCACTAGACCTGCACAAACAATCGCGAAGTTCAACGTCAACAGCTAATTTCAATACTAGTAGTAGCTTCTTGCTCCTAGTAGCGATGCCAGGAGCCCCTAGTAGCGAACATTGCTCCTAGTAGTAAGGCCAGGAGCCCCTAGTGGCGTCCTTGCTCCTAGTAGCGATGGCCTTCAACCTACTAGCGATGCCATGTTTTTCAGAAGAACCCTTTGATCAAACACTCTGGGGAAAAACCACTTTCGCACCTTGAAAGGGTGGCACTTTGGTTCATGGCGTCCAACGGCACTTGCACATTGAAGCTCCGGATTCCTCACAGAACGACCCTTTTAGCACAATTGAATTACGTTATCTTGCACTTCGACCTCTTCCGAAGCCAAAAATGAAAACAAAAATTTGTTAAATGGAAGTATTCTGTGTGCGAGCACTCTTCACCCGTTGTATTCAAGGACAAAAAGCATTCAACTATCTTTATCTTGATTCTGAGGTCAATATACAGCCCACACACGCCAATGGCTGATCAAACGAGATGCCAACGTCGAAAAGGAAGAAATTGGCCGCCGTTGCGCTGAGAATGCAAAGGCTCAGCAAAGGTATGAGTGGGCTCCAGAAGAAAAGAACTTCCTTGCACAAACAGCCATGGCTCTCTACTTCTTTCCGGCTAGCGCTTCAACCACACATTTGGTGAACTTATCAAACCAGTGTCTGCACTTCAAGGCAAGAAATACAGATATACAACTGTAACTATACAAACAGAACATTGGTTGAGCGGGTTTCAGCCTTGGCTCCATGAAGGTTGTGAGGAGGGCAGTTTGACGCAGAGGCACCAAAGACCCAGTCACTTTGAGGCCTCCCAAAAGCCTGAGGTGGCGCCCCTTCTGAGCATTTAAAGGCGCGCAAGATGTATCCAGCCGCGAGGAATACCAAAGCGGCAATAACACCAAGGGCACCACCACGCTCCGGACAAGCAACTTTTTCCTAAGAAAAGACTAGAAACTGGGCGCTACTGTTGAGAGTAGTCCATCTCACCAACTTGCCATATTGTTCAAAACATAACAAAAATTTCGATAATCAAAAAAAACTGACCCACTACGCTCAGCGTGGATTTTCTGGGACGAGTTTAGGTGCATGGCGTGCATGGTGTGCATAGACGACTGAGAAGTGATGGACGATGAGACTTTTCTTCCTTTTTTCCTTTGTTTCTTGTAACAATGGCCTCCACCCTACTAGCGGGCCTCCAACCTACTAGCGATGGCATCCGCCCTAGTAGCGTCCTTGCTCCTAGTAGCAGTGGCCTCCACCCTAGTAGTGATGGCTTGCAACTATTGCGGTCCGCACACGCCACAAGCGGCTGTTCGCGCTTTGATCACACCACCAGGGTCAGCCCTTTTATCCGCACCGGCGTATGATTCTTGTTGCTTCAGCGGCTGACTTCAGCGAAGTGGTCCATTCTAGGCTCAGGAGTCAGGAGGCCCGCGTATGTTCGTCAAATTGTCTCGATTTTGATGCATGCTGCAGTGCGTTGTAAAACGCTGCAGTTTAAATTTAGTTCCCAAAACAGTGTGGTCACACTAGGGGTTCTTATGGTACTGGCTGAGGGCGGGTGTCTAATCGAGGTGTCGCGCGCTCATGCCCGGCAATTCGTTGCTGTTTTCAGTACATTCATGTCTCTCGAATCCTCGAGGCGCATTTCGACTGCGCAGGCTCGCCGAATCTGGTGGGCTGGCGCAGACGCTTGTCGCGACTGCGCATTTTCGGGCATGGTGGTCACTTTTCGTGGCAGGCGCAAGGGAAACCTTGTGTTTTGGAGTAACTTTTCATGACGGTTTCACTTGGAAATGCAGTTTTGGTGGCAGGTGCAGCACTTTGGATATGGTGGTGATCTTCGACGCGCTCTAATTTCGTGACAGGTGCAATGAATCGTGACTTTTCTACATGTGGGTCGTTTTCAGAAATCGTGGTAGGTGCTGTGCTTGATGGACCTTCAAGTGCACCTTTCGTGGCAGGCGCAGTACTTTGTGGACCTTGCAGTGCGCATTTTGTGGCAAGTGCACTTGAAGTGCAAATTTTGTTGCAGGTGCGAATTATTTTGCGGGCCTTGAAGTGCAGATTTCGTGGCAGACGCGGTACTTTGCGGACCTTGAAGTGCAGATTTCGTCGCAGGCGACATACTTTGTCAACCTTGAAGCGCAGGTTTCGTAGCAGGTGCACTACTTTGTGGGCCTTGAAGCGCAGATTTCGTAGCAGCACCATCACCACCCACCACCATCACCACCATTATCAGCACAATCTCCACCATCATGACCACACCACCACCATCACCACGATCTCTACCTTCATCACCACCATCACCTCTCTAAACCCCAATGCGTCTAGATCTCTAAACTTTCTGCTGCTACACCTCTAGACCTCACACACACACACTGTTTGGGGTCTCTCGCCGGGACAATGCTTCTTTTGTGCCTTTGCGTTGTGTGCAGTCAGTCGCAAGATGCAAAAGGAATCACATCACTGCTTTCTTGAAGAAATACTGTGTATAGATACAGGTGTCTTGCGCGCTCAACTTTGAAAAGATCTCGCTGCTAAGGTCTTGGGCCTCTGAAGGTGTCCACAGCGTGCTACAATAGTATTTACACTGTTGTTGATGAGTGTCTGTGTGTGTGCGCGTGGGTGTGTGTGTGTGTGTCCCACCCTGGACAAAGGGTCTTTCACCACCACTCTTTC